GGAGGCCAAAGCAATTAGGCTGGAGGCCATCGCTAGTAGGTTGGAGGTCAAAGCAATTAGGTTGGAGGATTTCTATGCTCCGAGGAATGGCGACCTCCTGTCTGGGAAGACTGTTGAGTCCAAGGCCTGGACGTGGGAGGTGCCCTTGGGAGGAGCTGTTGGGAGGAGCTGTTCTTTGTTTCCGGAGGTTTTTTGTTTGGTCACCGCCTTTTTTTGTGGCCAAAGACGGACTGCAGCAAAGGTGTCCTCAAAGGAAACGAGCTGAATGAGAGGGATGGGACTCAGATGTTCCCAAGTGTTTTGTATGATCAACTTGTGGATTTTGTTTCCATGATCGCTGAGGATCCTGTGTACCACTCGATGGGCCTTCGATGTCAGAAGCAGACTGGATTTTACATGATTTAACTCAAAGGCGGTTTGTTCTGTGGTGATGTATTCTTACATATTACCCCGCCCCTCCCGCAGCAACCAGATGTCTCAAGGATGTTCCCTACATCTCCAGGTTGTGAGGTTGCATGGTCGAACATGCCAAAAATACGGCAGGCGTTTGCCCGCATTTGCAGAGGTGGTACGCCAATTCGGTCGGTATGCCACGAAAACAATCCCGACAAGGCAAGTCAGGCAAGCCCGATGGCCCCTTCTTCCCCCCAGGATCGCGATTCTGTGAGTCTGGATCTTTAGCGCGGCGTTTTGGGCAAAGACCAGAAGGCCACAAGTCGGTGACGTTGAGGCTTCAAATTAGTATTTTTTTCAAGAATATCGGCATGGACCGGAGTTTCTGCAGTGTTTCTCTCGTAAATTTGTTGTCGGCATTTGTTGTCACAGACAATTATAGATGACTATCGTGATCACTCTCGTGTTGGACGTTATGACATGCTTTCGGGACGTTGAAATAACAGAGTTCCCCAACTTCAGGCGACCGACGATCGTTTTTTTTCTTGCATTGAGAACTCGTAAGAGATCACTTCGAATGTTGGAGTGATTGTCCGAACACAAATGCTTCACGACAGAGTCAATCAATCAACAAAATCAAACAAGCAAGGACCCTCTCGGCCCCAACATAACTGAGAGGAAAAGGGGTTTGTTTGGAAGGTTTGTTTTCGGCAATGTGGGTGTTTATTCTCATCCCTCAACCTGTAAAGTTTGCTGAGTCGGCTTTGATTGAATCCAAGAGAGAGGTCCGCGCAAATGTTTAAGGATATGCTGGAATGCAACAAAGGTTTGATGGTCTTTGTGCTCCGTGTGGACCCTGAAATACTCCAGGTCGACCACACTACGACTCCAATTTCCAATGATTCCTTTGTTTCACCCTGGCTGGAGCTGGCTCGCGGTGCAAGGGAATTGAAGCAAGTGAAGTCAATGCTATGCAGATGGGTGTCGCAAGATCTATAGAAAGGAACGTTACTTTTGGAACTGCTTTGCGTTAGATGAAAGGTGTCCTGATTTGGGAATCACCCAAACGAGGTTTTCTTGGCATGGATTGCAAAGAACATTGGTTCCTACCTCTAAACACAAACGTGTGACGTTGTGACAAAAAGTCGTCAACAATCATTGCCACTGACTTTCTTTGCACTGCTTTGATGCCCTCGAAGCTGTGTAAGATGAGAGATCGCTCTGTCATGTGCTGCAAGAGCAGTGGAGAGATGCTATGTTTAGTTTTTAGTATACTCGAACGTCAGAGTTGCATAAATCAGCGCCATTGCCATTGTCCCGCAATTGTGAAGACCAGAAGGTTTCTTAGAGGGTTTCTTGGAGCACTCAGCACTCTGTGTCAACCTAGACCAGTAAGCTGTTAGCTTGAGGTAAGGGCGGATAGAGATTTGGGAATTCTTTTCTGATTGTCAACTTTGGTGCGTAAGGATCCTCAACCAGACAACCAACTTCTGGTCCTCTCTCTCTCTCCCTCTCTCTCAGGTCCAGTGGCTGGATAAGTTAAAAGCAAATTCAACTGTATCCGCTCAGAGGTCTTTTTCTCAGCATGTCGTAGTTGTTCATGTTCCAAGACTACTCCCTAGTTGTCTTGACGAGGGGCCTGTCTTTGTACCAGTTTATACTGAGGGATTTACTCGCTTGATGGGACTACAATAACAGGGCAGTGCTTTGCAGTGCCTGACCGATCTTCCTGCTCTCCAATAAAAAGTCAAGCGTGCGGGCGATCAGGCAGTTGTGATGGTTCAGATTCAGGGCTCAACAAAGTCTCCTCAGGGTATCTCCTTTTGAGAAGGTTGGAGATGGAGATACCCTGAGGTGGAACTGGCTGTTTGGGGTGAACTAGATGAAAGGAAACAACTATTGGGACATGTGTCGTACCACTGCGCAAGTGGTTCTACCCCCTGCATGACCCCCTGGTAACAGGGAGCAGCAACGCAGTCGCGCATGTAGCCAGACAATGCTCTGTGGTGGTGAGTTCACCCCCCTGTCAGGTGGATGTTGTTCAGGGTGACCACAATGCAGGTGTCAAGGCCTTCTTCAACCTGACAGTCAGAAGGGGATGCATCGGACGCATCCAAAACACCAAAATCATCCAGAATCCAAAACAAGAGGCTGCTCTTGAAATCTGGTCTGCATTTGACAAGTAGCTCACATTGAAACTGTATTCCATGTTCCATGCACCTGATTTCAGAACGCCTGTGCGACACATTGAGACGCAACGGGCGCACAGTTATCTTCAGTATGACGACCATACGGCACAGTTCAATTTGCAAGACCCAAATTGATGCAAGAAATCCTTGTTTTTGGAAAAGCTGGTTAAGATGCGCTCTAGAGGTGGGTTGAATATTCCGTTGTCAGCAAACCTCGAGTTGAGAACGTGTTCAACTTCACGGGTTTGGTTTGTATTTGAGGAGGGGGTATGTATAGCAAGCAGCCAATTTTGCGGAGAGGAACTGAATTGCTACTGTTGAACCCGCGCTATCTGCAGTTTTTGGTCAAACATAACACCGAGCAGGTGTCGCAAACAGGAGCTACTTGCGCAGTGGGTGTCACTAGTCACTAGTTGTGACAAGTGCCTGAGCCTTTGTGGCAGCTGCTTGGCAGATGTGATGTAGTGATTGTGAAAACTGGAGTGTGCAAGAGACAACCATAAGTTTTCCGGAAATCTTTGTTTGCCTGCAAAATGGTACCAGCCTCAGGAACTGGAGCGTCAGTTGCATCAGCTGTAACAGCTATTCCAGTTCGGCTGCAAGGCCGGGAGATTGACCTTGGCATGTCAAGAAGACTGTGACCAACAACGGAACAGAGGGAACTTGCAGACTTGCGAAGTACATAGTGAAATAGAAAGCCAAGTGAGACTTGTAGCAACACCACGACCAACTCAACCATTCGAGCGAGAGATTTGAGCCTGCCTCGTTCTTTCACAATGTAAAACAGTGTATGATGTGCTCCTGTGTAAACTCAAGACGGAACTTTTCGCACCCTCCCAGGCTTGGGTCTTCAGCAGAGTAGGAGGTCGGTACCATTCGCTTCCAAGTGGACACTGAAAAAAGAAATTCCACCTGTAGACGTGGCTTTTCTCTGGCCAGGGCATCCTTTAGTAAGCACCGGTCACTTTGCTGCAGACAGAGGCTGAAGACTGAAGTTACATGTGAACGAGTCGTTTAGGGCTTGGAACTTTTCGAGGTGAGTTTTAGAGTTGTGTGTTTTGCACGTGTTGGCAATGAAACCTGGCACTCCCAAAGAAATTGGTTTTGTTGTCGGACATACAAATGTTGTCCGTGTGTTTTTGGAAATCTTCAATCTTGGACCACCAAGAGCTCGGTAACACTAGGGGTTCTTACGGTAAGAGTTAAGGCTGGGTGTCTAACCGGAGGTTCTCATCGGCGTGTCCGGCTAATTCGCTGCTATTTACAGTACATTCATTCTCGTTGTGATCTTCTGTTTGCATTTCGACTCCGCAGGCTCGCAGAATCTGGTGAGCGCGAGCGTGTGCTCTGCGAGACTGTGCTCTGGTTGTGGTGCTGTGCACACTTTGGGCTTGGTGATCACGTTTTGTTTCCGTGGCCGGCGCAAGGGAAACCTCGTGCTTCGGTGGTCCAAAGTCGACTTTTCCTGACAGGGGCAGGAGATCGGAGCGGCTTTATGTGGATGTACAGAATCCGTGGCAGGCGCAGTACTTTGGACATGGTGGTGGTCTTTGGCGTGCTCTGGCTTCGTGGCAGGCGCAGTGAGCCGTGACTCTTGAACATGCGGCGTGTTTGAAATCGCAGAAGTCTCGAGCAAAACCTGCGTTCTGATATCTTGCTACTGTCTTTGGAAGTGCTCTTGCTGCGAATCGTTTTTGCAGGGCTGCACGATGTGAATCTTGACGTGAAGATTTCGTGGCAGGCGCAGCCAATGTGCTCTCATATGTGTGCTCTCACGCGTGCGCTTATATATGCACTCCCATATATGCTCACGTGTGTGTGTGTGTGTGTTGTGTGTACCCTTGGAATCAAAGGGATTGTAGGATTGTTTTTGACTTGCTTAATTGCAGGGGGCATGCGGCCATCACGCAAACGCATGCCAACGAAGCTATGCATGATGGTGGAAGCCAGGTCTGATCAACCTGGTGTACCTGCTTGTTTGAACTGTTGTCCAAGCGGTTACTCCACTTCTTCCTGTAAAGTGCTAGTGAGTTCTGCAGAGGTGCACGGACCGTCGTCCTTGTCGATCGATCGTTTCGCGGCTTTGCAATTTGTAACCTTCACCTTTGGAGGTTTGAGCATTGGGAGTTGGGGAGATCTGAACCCTGTTTCCTTAGGTTTTTCACTTAGGCTGGCGTGTGGCACCGCATTCACATCAGTACACATTTCTATGAGTGTGTGTGTGTGTGCTTTAGTGCGTGTGCTTTTTCATGTCCTTTCATATGTGTGTTCTCTAGGCCTCCAGCCCCAGATCCTAGACATCTCTCCGCACCTCTGGACTTAGAACTCTCAACCTAGACCTTCAGTTCATTTCAATTCTAAACCTGGTTTGTAAAGCAACCACTCACCATCACCACCCCCACCATCACCAATCACCACCATCACCAATCACTACCATCACCAATCACTACCATCACCAATCACTACCACCACCACCACCAACCCTCTCTGGAACCCAATACGTCTGGATCTCTAGATTTCCTGCTTCTACACCTCTAGGCCTTTGACCTTTAGACGCACTGTGCGGGGCCTCTTGACAGGATGAAAATTTTGATCTTAGAAGCGTCCGCCTTCACCTGCACCCCTTCAAATCATCCAAAGTCGCATAGGGCTGAGACCGGTGTCCGTCGAGCCAAGTCTAGCGCCGGTGATTGGCCTCTTCGTGGACGGAGCAGCCATGCGAATTCAATATTTTAGCCTTTGCTTGCTTGGCTCTTCGGCTGCATCAGCGCTTTTGGTGAGTCTGCAGAGTGCAAGGAGCAGTTGCAGTTAAGTTGGGTGGTGCCCAAGTTCCAGCAACGGCAAAGCTACCAAAGCCACTGCTTGGCAAAACTTGCTGCCTTCAGTCGCTGATGATCACCAATCAATGGTAAGAGTTGCAAGAATACAGGTATACCGGTATACCGTAGAAGTGCAGAATATGATAGAATATGGTTCAATTTCATACATTGCCGACTGCCCAAGAACTTTCAATTCATGTTTGACTGTTTTCACACCCATGCACCAGAGAAAAGACGGTTCCACAAGCGAGAATTTGGGAATCCAT